ACAATTATATATATACATATACACACACACACACACACACACACACACACACACACACACACACACACACACACATACACACATACATTTATTTTTTTTTTTTTTCACACACACATACAAATAATATATATATATATATATATATATATATATATATATATATATATATATATATATATATATATATATATATATATATATATATATATATATATATATATATATATATATGAGTGGAATTAGGATTCTATGATATTTCTGTCCAGCATTCAAAATAATTGTATAAGACAATGCAAGAAAAATTAGATTAGTTAATACTTTCATATTTGTTTGTTCTTAGTGTTTAGTTTTGGTGTTTCAGTGAATATAAAATTTTGTTTACTAACATATATAAATATTTTCCATTTTGAGTTGTACATCGCCATTTATTTTTTACGTACTTTTTATTTTTCGTATCAATATTATTACATAAACCATAAAGAAACATAATTCATGTTTGTGTCAATTCATTAATAGACATACATATTTATATATTTGTATTCTTTGGTAATTTTCGAAATCTTACAATTAACATTATCTCTAACAATGTATAAAATTTATGATGTATATAAAGTAGTAATCTCAACTAATTGATTGCAATAATAAAGGCATTTTATTTTGAATTCTACATATTCTTTGTCATGAATTATATACGTATGTAAATTATGTGAAATATGTTTCTCGCAGGTATTGGTAATTTTCGAATGAAACAATTTACAGTGTGTTTTAAATATTAGGGTTTTTGTGCATTAGTCCCCAACCAAGCATCTTTATTATTCTAGATTTAGGGACTATATCTCTTTCACCAATATGTCCATCCCTTTAATATTTAGTATAAATAAAGGAAACATTCATGTATATGTCAATACCCAATTCTTAATTGTAACCCCAATTTAATCAATTTTGTCCACAAAAATTCAATTTTGACTTTTTTTTCAAAAACTTTTTTTTCCCGCCGAATTCGAGCATTGACTTTTCGATTTTTTTTTTCTTCTTCCAGATTTTTTCGCCGGTTCCGGCGTTGGCTTTATTTTTTTTATTTTTTTTTTGCCGGTTTCCGGCGTTGATCGGCGGTCTCCGACGTTTGTTTTTTTTAGTAATTTTTTTTTTACGTTCGCCGCTAAACGTTGACCGTAATTGTGCTGTCACTGACATAAAAATTAAATATTATTATTTTTCATTTTTTTGTTATTTTTTTATTTTGTTTGATTTGTTGACAAGTCAACGTAATTATATTACCGTCGTTGACAGTAAAATATCTGTAAACACAATAATATTACAGTCAACAACATCAATATTATTATTTTCTTTTGGGTTTTTTGTTTTGTTTGAGTTATTCACGGAGTAACGTAATAATATTATTGTCTATTATTGTAATATTACTGTGGTTGACGGTAATATTACTGTTATAGTAATATTGCTATCAACCACATCAATATTATTATTTTGTTTGGATTTTTTTGTTTGTTTGAGTTATTCACGGATTAACGTAATAATATTACTGTGGATTATTGTAACATTACTGAGGTGGACGGTAATATTACTGTTGTTATAGTAATATTACTGTCACTCACAGTAATATTAATTCTTTTGGCTTTTTATTATGTTTATATCTGTTGAACAGTCAACATAGCAATATTACTCTATTACACAATAATAATGAGTTTTTGTTGTGTTAATATTATTGTGCTGGAGATTAATATAGCAATATTACTGTGTTAAATTGTAGTTTAGTTAATTTTACTGTGTTTAACAGTAATATAATTAATATTACTGTCAATCACAGCAATATTACTGTTTAAACGAAAAAAAAATGTTATAGAAAGAAGAAGGAAAAAAAAAAATCGAAAAAGTCAACGCCGGAAACCGGCGAAAAAATCCGGAAGAAAAGAAAATGAAAAGTCAACGCAGGAGACCGGCGGTCAGTGCTGGAATCCGCCGGCAAAAAAGAAATTTCTGAAAAAAAAATTGGGTCAAAATTGAATAATTTGTGAAATTTGGGGTCTAATTGAGATTAAATTAAGTTAATGATGAAATTGGAGCATATTAAAGTATGAGGCGCTATTTTAATCTTTTACAAAAATTTGGACCATGTGTAGACTTATTGGTAAATGAGTTTTTTGTCTGGATCTCTTTATGAATAAGTACCCATTTATAGACTTATTTGTAAAGACCCCTTAAATATTTATAACTATTAAAACTTATTAGTTTAATTATTTGATAGTTAATTTGTTATCATATTCGATGATCTAGGGGATACAGTTAAAATGGAAACGAATTAACGTATTATTGAATAATGCCTGAAATACATGCTTTGATCTATACGAATATTTAATTTACCATAGAGATTATAGTTATTCTAAATGTACAATTTTAATTGGCAAGTGTATTCCATATTAAAATAGTAAAATCATTCAATTTTATTTGATTAAAGTCCCATAAAGCCAAATTTTGTATAATTTTCTCTTTTTTCTAGAAATTCGTACATTTTTAAATGAAATACATTATATTTTAGGTAAAATAATTATATTAACTGATCATATTCAATTACTTAGTAAATCTACCTTTCTCAAGATAAATATTCAAGTAATAGTATTGGTTAGTTAAAAACCAGACATTAAAGTTCTAAACAAAGTTATTTATACGTACACACGATCACAAGTATTTTATATCAAATAAGGTGTACGGAGAATTCACTCTGATGGATAATTAAGACGGTTTTATGAGAGAGTATGCAGATTAAACGAAATTTTCATAACTCAAATATCATATATCACAACACCCGATAAATTCTGCAGTTTTCTGTCATAATTTATATTGATTATTTCGGATTGATTTGTATGTTTAATTTCGTAAGTTCTTTGTTCAATTAACATAAAACCGGGATACTAACTGTATGTTTAGGAAATTATATTGAACGTCACTTTCCGCCGTTGTTCGTTCTGAGAAGGGAGCGGTATTGCTTCATTGCTCCTTTCGGGTGGTAGAACATAACATTCTAGATTTGAACTCGCGATAATTGTGCATGAGAGCTCCACTTGAGCATTAACAAGGTCCTCAAGCTGTTGATTGAAGCAAAACACATTCTTTATTTTGATTCAATAACGCATTTGTTTTTAGTATTACATTTCATGTGGGTAATCCTAACAATGAAATTACGGTCAGACAGTTTGCCGAAATGAGGACTTAGCTGATTTAAGTTTTTGCAACGTTCTTTGTTAGTGTTAAATTTTCATGTACCTTTCGTCATTTTCTTTTTCCCAGAAAAAGAGAAAACTTCATCCAACGGTATTAGTATTCGTTTTAGTATTGACGTATTAGAATTAACATTATTTTTTGCAGTGGTATTAGCGTTAGTATTTGTATTCGTATTGACTTATTAATATTAGTATTAGTATCAATATTAGTATTAATATTAGTATTATAATTGGTAATAGTATTAGTATTGACATTAATATTAGTATTAGTATTAGTATCAGTATGAGTATTAATATTAGTATTATAATTGGTAATAGTATTAGTATTGACATTAATATTAGTATTACTATTACTATTAGTATTGTATAAGTATTGGTGTATTATTATTAACATTAAATATTTGTATTAGAATTGGCCTATTAATATTAGTATTAGTATCAGTATTCATATTAGTATTGGCGTATTAGTATTAATATTGGTATTCATATTATAATTGGCGTATTAGTATTAGTATTTGTATTCGTAGTAGTACTAGCCTATTAGTATTAGTATCAGTATTAGTATCAATATTAGTATTAGTATTAGCATTAGTATTAGTATTAGTATTAGTATTAGTATTAGTATTAGTATTAGTATTAGTATTAGTATTAGTATTAGTATTAGTATTAGTATTAGTATTAGTATTACTGTTAGTATTAGTATTAGTATTAATATTATAATTAGTATTAGTATTAGTATTAATATTATAATTAGTATTAGTATTAGTATTAGTATTAGCATTAATATTAGTATTAGCATTATTATTAGTATTAGAATTAATATTAACATTAGTATTAGTAATAGTATTACTATTAGTATTTGTATTATTATTACTATTGGTAGTAGTATTATTAGTGATGGTTTTAATATTAATATGAGTATTGGTATTAGTAATTTCAGTGTTGGTTTTAGTATTAGTAATAATAGTAGTTATTAGTGTCGTATTAGTGTTAATATTAGGGTGAAATAGTCAATTATATGCCGCAAATCGAGAGTTAAAAGTAGATATGAAATAAATATGTTTATCAACTCAGAATCGATCGATATAACTAATATTACTAGCAATGTTGTGTGCACAAAAGAAATTCAACGAATATGAAGGTAAATACAAAAAAATGTGTATTTTGATACACATTTGTTTTTTTTTTTTTTTTGTATATTTAGTTTGCAATATTTACATTTTGTTCGCTCTTTATGCTAATTTTACTAGCGACTTCAATGAAGTTTTTGTTTATCCAAGGTATTTCAGTACAAATTGTATTGTCTTCCTTTACAATTTTAGATAATTTATGTTTTTGTAATGTGTATCTATGATTGCATATGAACAATAAAAAATGTGTAATGTTTACTCTCAAGGTATTATGTGTTATAGATGATGTCAATGCATGTTCTATAAAACACCACTTTTATTTTAAGATTCGAGTGAATTGAAAAAGATAGTTGTAACTTCTAAGTCAAATGATTTATCTTATTTTTTATGTCACAATTTTCTTATTTTATTTTATTATCATTTATTTTATTTGCACCAAAAGACGAAATCTCTAGCCCACAGGGTGTCCATCTCTTGGTCCGACAAGTATTTGGTGGAGGAATGTAAATTCATGGAGACTCAACGGCCCGATAGGTAACCGGCTTGGAACTGGTCCCACAAGAAACCAACCCTCATTGGAATTGAGATTCCTACACTGCGGCTGTTATGATTCGATTCTAAGACCTTGCATCAACTTACCATATAAGAACCAGTTGAGTTATACCCACGCGGGACATTTTGTTTATATAATGGAAATTGTTTTTTTGTCTGTTTTTTTATTTATATTGTATTATATATCAATTATTCAAAGTTTTCGATAAATTTTCTTAATCAATTTCTTTCTTTTCAATTGTTCAAAGTTTTCGATAAATTTTCCTGTAAAATTGATCCCGTGCATCGCACGGGTGAATTACTAGTTTAATATTAAAAATAAGTATATAAGTACATCATAAGGAAGAAAAATTATATTTCAATTTATTTCTCTCTCTAAATGGTAACATAACTTATGTCTACTTATTTGAAAATTAAATTATCAAATTATTTCAACATATGATGATTCATTTACAACAAATTAAAAGATCACAATTATGAGATTTTATAGTTTTGGATAATAAAATCCAACTCCTGAAAATCTTTAAATCTAAGTTATCAAGATATATTTTTGTATGCATGTGGATTCGATTTGTTTACATTAGCTTACAGTTTTTTTTTTATAAGTTATGATGTGGTTGAGAATCGATCTTGGCCTATATCAATATAACCTTCGAGCTGGATTAATACTCATTGAAATTACACATGAATCGCAACGTGCATTGCAAATAAATGTTAGGGCGCCATGCTTTGGTGTTTTGCGAAAACTTTAGGCCGATCGAGTCAGTATTTGGAGTCCAATCCGAAACAGAGAAATTTGAGAGCGTATTAATAAATGATTAGATAGTGTGTTCCTTTAATTATGATGCATGATTAAGTAGTATTTGTATTTAAGATTATTGACTAGGGTTCATAATCAGATTTAGTTTATCAATAAGACCTAAAATGATTGAGCCTTGTCTTACCTTGTTGAACATCATTGAACTTTTGACTCATAATTATGTACATGACACTGACCGATAATATTGAGTTTGAACATAAGATTTTGGGCTAGGCCTAGAAATGGATACTAATTAATAGGAGAAGTTACTTGGGAAAATAATTAATCTTTGTAGTAATTTTTTTCATACTTCTTGTTTTTTATGTTGCATTATTTTCTCATATTTATTTGTTGCTTTCTTTTATATCACGGGGATTTGTTCGAACCTACATCCGGTGATAAATACCGCGTGGGTCTTCTGCTGTCACGTGTCTCTTTTTTGTATTTTATAATATATACCCCGCTAGGGTTTACCTTTAGGGATTTTAGAAAAATAAAAAAAAGGGACACATGGCAGCAGAAGATCCACCCGGTGTTTATCACCGGGTGTAGGGTCGAATGAGCCATATCACGGGGTGCAACTTGATAGGTTAATTTAATAATAAGGTGCAAAACATATATATTTTTTTTGGAGTGCATTATGCCTAAATATTTATATCACGGGGTGCAAGATGCAATTTAACCTCTCTAACATATTGTATTTATTGTTTTCTTTTATATCACGGGGTGCAACTCTGCAAATTAATTTAATAATAAGGTGCAAAACATAATTTGTTCTTTTGGAGTACATTATGCCTAAATATTTATATCTCGGGGTGCAAGATGCAATTTAACCTCTCTACTGTTTTTTTTCTTTCAACAAAAATTATTAATAAGTTTTTTTCTTAGACAAAGTATTATAAATAAGTTTAACTATTTATATTTAAGATATTTCTCAAAAAAAAAGAAAAAAGAAAAAGGAGTAATTTATATATAATTATTTTAGTCATATAAGCATAAATATAGCGTAGAACAGTATTATTTTTTTATTAAATCTGAAAATATACTTGGTCTTAATACATAATTACAATACGCTAATAGAGTGATTGAGTAGAGATTTTCGCCGGACCGACCAACAAATTGCCGGACCGCTCCGGCCGCCCGTCGGATCGTTCATCTGAAAAGCCCTAATTTGAATTAGGTAAATCTAATGTCTGATTGTTTGCGACTTCAGCTGTGTGTAATTTGCGATCTTAATATCACTTTATTTCGGGGACCAAAATTTTGAAAGCAATTATATTTTAAAAATCCCCAGCAATTCTCTATACTGACAAGAGATGCAAATTATACGGTTATGTAATTTTATGCCCAATTATTGAACTTATTTCAGAAGGAATATGTTCTGTAGCATGATTGTTTGCTTGTTGATTCATTTTCTATTTGAGTTTATTGCACTAAAATGGGACTAGGGGATTTGGTTGTTTGCACTATAGTTGGTTTGCAACATAACAGATGAATAAGTTTGTGTAACAAAGCAATTTTGGTAAAACACCGAATCGAACTACTTAGTTCAGATTCCTATTCGGCGTGGTTTCTTTATGCAGAAGTTTATGTGGTTTTACAGAATGCACACCCATAGTCAATTAGGACAGCTTAATGGAAGCTCTTAGGCCATGCCCAATGAAACCCTAAACAAATTACCGAAAACTAAACCAGAATTTAAGCATCTCTTGTATTAGGTATTACTAATTGTCTAAGGGTTGATTCTATTTGAAAGCATTTAGTTCTCCTTCGTATTTGATTGTGACGTCGATTCACCTATTTGAAATGCACCGAAATCCCGCGGCTGCTGAGTAATTTGAAGTATTGGTTTTATTATTCTTCGAATAATTGCATTTAATCACATTTACTGGGGCTAGTTAATTGCTGTAGGGCTGTGGAAAATCAGCTCCACCAATCTGTGAAGCCACCCTATTGAATGCTGTGGTTATGCTTGTACATTGTATAGAGAATTTTAAGCTAACTGGAAAAATTACAATAATCGTATTCCCTTTTACGAAAAATTCAAATTCCTATTGAATAGTGTGGTTAAGCGCGTGCATTTTACAGAGAATTTTAAGCTCATTGTATAGAGAATTTTAAGCTTAATAATTGAGAAAATTACAAAAGTCACGTTCCATTTAAAAAAAAATCAAATTCCTCTTACATGAGATGGCAAAACGAGAAGAATTTTCAGATTCAGACTGTGGAATTTGTGCTTGGTTCATCGAGATAAGGGGTATTATTTTTATTTAATATAATTGCTCTTTACAGATCTCACATGGACAACATAGTAGATTCTCTGGGTAGTGCATATCAGGAGTTTATTGCAGCAGCAGCTAGCGCCTTAGAGGCAAAAGAAAGCTCCGGTGGCAAAAAAACTGCAGCTACAGATGTTGCACTCGAAAATTTCAAGCAAAGGTGGGAACTCTTCAGAGTTGCTTGTGATCAAGCAGAAGAGTTTGTGGAATCAGTGAAGCAAAGAATAGGTTCGGAGTGTCTAGTTGACGAGGCTACAGGTTCGGTGACTGCCAAACCAGGACAGCCTGTACCAAGTGGTCTTCCACCCATTAGTGCCGTTCGATTGGAGCAGATGAGTAAAGCTGTTAGATGGTTAGTGATTGAGCTTCAACAAGGATCGGGGGCTGGAAGTAGTTCTTCACATCCTAACTCTGCTGCACCTTTTGATGCTAGATTTACCGAAGATTCTGCTCAATAGGTATTATTACCAATTTTCGTTCCATTATCTTAGTTAATGAAAAAGTGGGTACAGATTCTTTTTTTGTTTATTATTTTCAGTCCCGAGATTTAAGTGAACGTTGTAGCTTGGGTAAAAAGAACTTAGCCAAAGTACAATTAGTGTTCCTTAATAGCACTTAAACTACTATCACCTAATTACATTAATTTACTACCTAACTACAACTCGTAATAAATATAGTTTCCGGCAGAACTAACATTTGGTAGCAAATTTATGTTTTTTGCTGGAGACAAAAAAACGTTTGGACTGAGATACAGTCAGATCTTGATACACCAGTTAGGACAGCAAAAATAACATTAAATATCAGTCTAGGTGAACGATGCGTACATCACATTTGCTATGTTGTACTGGCAAAAGATTTGACTGTTTGAGTTTTATTGTTTATACGAGTATTAGGTTGATCATAGTGCAAGAGGAGTATTAATGTAGTAACACAAAATTGCCCCGATTTCTTTTATATATTTGTTTGTGGCTTGGGAACGAGCCTTTTCGTGTCAAAAGGAGAGTCAATGATGCTTTCTATGGTTGACTTTTTGCAGGGAGGAAAATTTCAGTCTCGTTGTTGCGCTGTTAGGCAAGTGAAAGTTGTTGTTCATGTTAAGTACCAACGGGTTTCGACTTAACTCAGTGCGGTTACCCTTTCCCCGTCGTTATGAAATTTATTCATATAATATTGTTTTGACTTTTAATTCGCTGTCCATATGGGGAAGAATTCGATGTTCGAATTCGTAATGATTTAGAAATACAGGGTTCAAATTTCGTTGGCGTTTTTATTGTAATGGTTAAGTAAATATAAAAATGTTCTATGTCGAAAGAGCATATTCTTCGATTACACTCATTCAATTCAAAGGGCATGCAATTCAATTCCTTACTATGAAAAATTTATCGATTGTAACATAGAACAAACCGACATTAAACAAGTCCTAGAATAAAGTTGGTATTTGATACCAGTGCCCTGCACGCATATAGTCGTAATATAGTCCATGTAGTACAAATGTTCGTAAAATTGTGAAAACGAGTTTGTTTATGAAAATTTTGTTTTCTATTCACTTTCAAATAAGAGATATATTTTAAATAATTCAAATCAATGAAAAGCGTAAATATTTGCTATGAAAAAACTTTTAAATTCGTTAAATCACTTATAGTATAAGTTTGAAAACAACTACATTGGATGAATGTGGGTTCGATTTTTTTTCATTAATAAACGAAGTGATTTTGTCAACTAGTGTAAGAAATTCGATGAGACTTTATTCCGGTTGAGTCATAGTAAGCTCGAATTCTGCTCATAAATTTTTGGGGAACAAAATGGCTCAAACTCGATCTAGGTCACAATTAGTTATGTCAATTATACTTTAAATTTTGGGGTAATGGCAAATAGGCCCATGACAAAGGCACTTAATTAAAATAGGGACATCCAACTTTTTTGTCTTTCAAATAAATCCACCCCATTCAAACTTATTTGCAAATAAGGAAAATCCCTTTATATATACCAAAATTATCCCCAATTCATTGAAACCCAATTCAACTCCAATTTCATGATTTATACCCCAATTTAGCCCAATTTCATCAATTAACCAATTTTAACCAAAATTTCAATTTTGACCCCAATTTTAACCCTAATTCGTATCAATTCCACCCATTATGCTCTAACTTCTTTAATATTACACATTGACCCCGGATTTTAACAAATATATCACATTAACCACCAAAACTTTTTTTTTTCAGAAAATAATTTTTTTTCTGAAATATTTTTTTTCCGGCCAGATTCCGGCGCTGACCGCCGGTCTCCGGCGTTGACTTTTTTTTTTTTTTTTTTTTTGAATTTTGTTTTCCTGAAATTTTTTTCCGGCCGGTCAACGGCCGTTGACCGCCGGGTCTCCGGCGTTGACTTTTTTTTTTTTTTTTTTTTTTCTTAAAAAAAATATTTTAATTAAATTTACTGTCTTGGCTGCTAAATTACTGTCTCCGGCAGCTATTTAACTGTCGGAGACAGTAATTTAACTGTTAATTGACTGTTTTTTTTTTCTTCAAAAATATTTTAATTAATATTACTGTTTTCGTTGCTAAATTACTGTCTCCAGCAGTTATTTAACTGCAGTTATTTAACTGCCGGAGACAGTAATTTAACTGTTAATTGACTTTTTTATTCTTAAAAAAAATATTTTTAATTAATATTACTGTATTCGTTGCTAAATTACTGTCTCCAGCAGTTATTTAACTGTCGGAGACAGTAATTTAACTGTTAATTGACTTTTTTATTCTTAAAAAAATATTTTTAATTAATATTACTGTATTCGTTGCTAAATTACTGTCTCCAGCAGTTATTTAACTGTCGGAGACAGTAATTTAACTGTTAATTGACTTTTTTATTCTTAAAAAAAATATTTTTAATTAATATTACTGTATTCGTTGCTAAATTACTGTCTCTAGCAGTTATTTAACTGTCGGAGACAGTAACTTAACTATTAATTGACTTTTTTTTTTTTTAATTTTTTTCCTTAAAAAAAATTTATTTTAATTAATATTACTGTCTTGGATGTTAAATTACTGTCTCCAACAGTAGTTTAACTGTCTTAGACAATAATATTAATAATATTACTATTCGGAAAAATAATATTCATAATATTACTGTCCCAAACAGTAATATTACTGTCTGAGACAGTAATTTAGTAGTCAAGACAGTAATATTAATTAAAATATTTTTTTTCTAAGAAAAAACAATTCAAAAAAAAAAAAAAAAAAAAAAAAGAAAAAAAAGTCAACGCCGGAGACCGGCGGTCAACGGTGGTTGATCGGCCGGAAAAAAAAGAAAAAACAGGAAAAAAAAATTTCAAAAAAAAAAAAAAAAAAGTCAACGCCGGAATCTGGCCGGAAAAAAAAAACAGTTCAGAAAAAAAATTATTTTCTGAAAAAAAAAAGTTTTGGGGGTTAATGTGATATATTTGTTTAAATCCGGGGTCAATGTGTAATATTAAGGAAGTTACAACATAATGGGTGGAATTGTTAAGAATTATATTATTGAGGGTATTTTAGACTAAAGACATGGGGATGGGCTTAATTGAGAAACTGTTTTTTTTGTGGACTAAAATGCATTTAAGTCCCATGTGATGGGTCTTTTTGCCATTTGCCCTTAAATTTTTTGGGAAAAAAATGGCTCAAACTCGATCTAGGTCACAATTAGTTATGTCAATTATACTTGCTCAAACAAAACTGTGTGGAATAATCGGGCTTCGGATAGGTGCAGCTCAATTATCTATCCCAATCTCCATGTGAAAAGTTGTATATTAACATTTCCGATTTAAATATATATATATATATATATATATATATATATATATATATATATATATATATATATATATATATATATATATATATATATATATATATACACACATTGAAAAAAATCAAATAAAATATGTAAATACAAAATAAGCGGTGTGTGCAGTCGGAAGTCGGAACAAAAACAGAAAAAAAGGAAAAAACTCACCGGCGCGTGAAAGAAAGTTGAAATGAGAAAACAAATGCACTGAGAGAGAGAGAAACACACACTCGCACACAGTCATGCAGTGTTGATGTGCATGAAGCAAGCCTAAATTACAGGTAAAATATAAATATTTTCACCCTTGATTTGTGTCCCACTCTTGTTCACAATCACCTACTTCCCAAGTATTTTCTCAAACAATTATCATTTTGCTTTTCTTTTTTTCCTTCCATTCGATGCAATTTAGCCAGATTTTTTCCTTCTTTTGGCGAGATTAGACACAGGATGGCGCTGAATTGTAGTAATAACTCACGGTTTCTGTCTGGATTTGGTGTTAGGGTTTTTCCCCAACCGGGTAAGCTGGAGTTTGACTTCGCTCGTTTGATCATGTTCCTTCGCTGGCTCGAGGCAACGTTAGTTTCTCTTTTTTCGACTCAATATTGCTTTGGATTTGTTTTAAATTTTTTGAATGATTGTGATCGTATATATTGGCTGTAGTTTTGTTTGTTGACATGATTCATTCTAGGGTTTAATATTTGGGTAAATTGAGGAATTTGGTTTTAATAATTTATTGATTGGTGATGTTTACAGAATTTTGGATTTTGGGGATGAAATGCACAAGGTCTACATGTGGATATGGTCGGTAAGTGACTGCACTTGTTTACGTTTTTTTTTGCAATTGATGATGTGCTAGAAAGTGTTCTTCTGATTATAGTCCACCGATAGGCTTAGATCGATATATAGGTGCTTGATGTTTTAGGAGACTAGACCACTGCCTTTTGGTATTAAATCAAAGTTCCTTATAAACAAAATTTCTGCGTATGCTAGCGATGCATTGTAATAGAAACGGTTTCAAATTAGGTGTTCATAAGTTGGATTTCCAAACAAGGCGTATATATTTATTTGACTTAATTCTGTGATACTATAAATCTGGTATGCTAAAAATAATTCACATGTTGATAGATGTTACACTTAGGGAATTCGGAATAGGTTTGAGTTTAGGTTAATGAATCAAAGCTGTGAAATGTGCCTTACGTTTGGGGAAGAAATGCTGATTATTGATATTATCCGAATATCAGAGACCAGAAGATGGATTTTGTTTGGATCTCCTTATTCATCATTTTCCTTTTTCCGTTTTGTGTTGGTTGGGGGTTGTGGAAGACAAGAAACCTTTAATATTCTCAAGTATAATAATTTACTGCGACAGCTCTTTGCACGTGTTTTGCAATACTTAAACTTGGAGTGGTAACCTTAGTTGCTGACTTGCTTCTACGTGTGATATACTTGTCTGCTACACATTCTCAAAATTTTGTAGATTTTTTTAATTGGTGTAAAATCTTGCAGAGCGGTGATCTTGGGCTTCGCTTACTCTGGCACATTTTGCATCTGATTCTGAGCACATGGTACTTTATTATAGGTTTGATGGGTTCAGTTGAGAGCTTTCTTATCTCGAGTGGTTTGTTTAAACGGTACAGAGATCTTGATATCAGTAAAGTTCAGTACCTGGCAGTTGCTATAGACAGTGATGAAGCTCTTCAGACTCTGAAAGTTCTAGAACTGTTGCGGTGGCTTGAAGCTATTGGATTGAGAAAAGTTTGCCTCTATGATACTGCAGGTATAGAAACCACAACACCGTAAAGAAACTTTGGTTATACCTTTTGGGATATATTTTGCCAGATTTCCAGGTAAAATCTTAATTTGCTATTCCTTTTTTGCTGTAGGAGTGCTGAAGAAATCCAAAGAAGCCCTCACGCTATTGTTGAAAAATGAAAGAATGTCCAGTGTACTGCCCTCAGTTCTACATTTTTAAGTTTCTATGTTACTGCCATCATTTGATATAATATTTCTTTTTTAATTGAAACAAGTTGTGTCTAGTCATAACTGACTGACTACAAAAAATCTGGGACTTCCTTGTTTGTGGCAACAACTCAAGTTCTTTTAACATTTAGAATTTGTCATTTTCGAAAACTGGCAGCTAAAATTTTCTAGCCAGTGGTAATATACATTTAAATCTCACATGATGTAATGGTTCCGTTTTGATTATATATTGAGACAATTAGAAAACAAAAATCAGATTGCAGTATATACATTTCGTCCCCATAAATGGTGTTATGAATGGTCTCCAACCCAAAAAAGTGAACCATCTTTGTACAGGAAACTGCTAGTGATCCCCTTGTTGAAGAGAAATGTTTGAGTTTGGAAGTGATCTCTTTTTCTGATGGGAAACAAGCGGTGGCAAAAGCAGCTGATGTTCTCTTAAAGAAGCACTATTTGAGTTCCAATACTGAGAAGCCGAAGTTAACAGAGTCTGACATGACTGATGCTCTTGGAGCAATAGGTATGTTTTTTCATATGTTCCCCTATTCCATGTACGCGGTTTGATATGTTTTTTTTAAATGATTTTATTGGTAAATAGAAAGAGTATGTATTACTTTTCCTCTGGGTTTACAATCTCATCCATCGTTTTGGTGAAATCAGGGTATAGGGAACCAGACCCTGATCTCATGTTGATTTATGGGCCTGCAAGATGCCACATGGGTTTTCCAGCTTGGAGAATACGTTACACAGAGATCCTGTGAGTGTTGGTATTAAACTTCAATACAATCCGCTGAAACTTTTTCCACTGGTTCCTATTGAAGTACAATACACTCAATATTTTGCCAATGTTCTCTGCACACTACGAGAGGCGATTTACTATAGCAAGTGAACATTATTAGAGAAATCATTAAGAACTTTAGAACAGACTTTAATTTGCTAGAATACACATTTAAACCTACATATGGAGACATTTAAGTGTTGACGCCCACAAATATCCTGATGTGCAGCTATAGCAAAATTACTCCTATTTGTTGGAAATTCATTTTTTTTCCCTAGCCGGCTTAACCTAAGACCAACAAAATTGCAAGGTTCTTGTTTGTTCGAGAGCATGTCTTTGACTATGTGTTTGGTTGCAGGCACATGGGACCATTGAAGTCGATGAAAATAGGTGCTCTCATAAAAGCCATTCATAGGTACACTATGGTGCATCAGAACTATGGTATGCATATCAACTTCTGCTCCGTATGCTTTCAGTTTGTAAGAGTGAATTAGCCACTGTTTGATCTGTTTTCGACCCATGAAGGCTCTTCGTAAACGGATAAAAGAAATAGAGATCCAATAGTTCCTTGAAAGCCACTTAAAAAAGTTTTATAACCTTGTTTTATTCAGAAAGCCATTTTTACCATTTTCCTTCGACACTGAATCTTGGATATGAACTTTGTTAAGATCAAAGCAGAGATTTATAAACCCGACATCATTTTCTAGGGAAATCTAGATTTGGAAGAAAATAAAAATGGATGAAAAATGATGTTTCCCTAGAATGGTTAACCAATAACCATGTTTTTAAAGATTTAAAAAATTGTTGGTTTCATGTATTCCGTCTGTTGTTTCTCGAAGGCTTGGAATTAGTTACGAATAGACGGTATACTTTTGCAAATATTGTACCTCCAGAGGAAATCAAAGAGACGTTTGGTACTTGTAATAGCGCGGATTGTAATAGAGTCGCACACCTTCGCAAGTTGTACATTATTTGACATGATTATTCAACTTTGCTTTCGTTCTAATATGCGTACTTTTTTGTTACCAGGTACATGAACTGGTGCTCCATTTACAGTAGGAACATGATTCTTGCCCCACTGGACGTTGCTAGGAAACCTCTAGACTATATTGTTACGTTGGATAATTTGGTTCTGTGCTTTGTGTTCATGAGGTGTATACTAATACTATTCAACCATATAACAATATTATGTCATTTATAAAACAAACTCGCATCAATTTAGTTACTGTATAAACTTCTTTCTCCATTGACGTTGCAGTCGTTCCTGATTATTAACGGGGAACCATAAATTCAATGTTCGAACGTCAAAGTGCGAAAGTACAAAAACATGTCTTTTGATGCGATGAATAAAAAGCACTACTTTCCGACTATGCATTCAGATGACAGTTCTTTTACATTATGACACTGACAGTGCCTCAGAGATTTAATACACTTATCAAATGCTGGATTTGCTAATAAGGTGGAATTGGCGTAAAATGCGAACATGTTGATATAGACTATAGAATGCCATTTTATGGATAGAGCTGCCTTCCAATATGCCTCTAGATTTAATACTCTGTTTCAAGAACTCCGTCAATGAGACCAAACTCCATAGCCTGCAAAGAGGGGAAGAGATGTAAAATTAAGTCGAGGCAGTTGATGCTATTTCCCGTCTCTATTCCAACAAAATCGAGCTGAAAAATGACACGATGTAAGAAATGTG